TAAAATAATATAATTATTGATATTTGTTTTCAAACTAGAGCATTCTTATTATAAAATAATACAATCTTGTATTTATTGATTTGTTATTACTAATTCTTTTTTAAGTTTTTCTATCTTTATTCTTTTATCCTTTATTATATTCTGATATCTCTCTCTTTTTTCCTATATTCTTTTATTTTTTATTATATCCTTTATACTTACCTTCTTATCTATATTTTTTTAATAGGCATAGAAGCTTAGTTGCTTGATTCATATCATTCATAAAATTAATGTTTTGTTGATTATAACTTTTCTTTGCTGTTCAAATAAATAATTTTATGCTTACTTGCATTTGATTTTATCAAGCTTAGTAAGAGTACATGGCAACAATCGATTCTTTTCTGTCGGAAATCTTTCCGAACAAAAACTTAAATCAACAAAACGTTACGCCTATATAAGAACTCATATACAGTAAGGGAATTCCATAAAAAATTGTTATCATACAATTTAAATAAGATCACGGGTTGCGGAACCGAAAAAATTTTCTCTTATGATCTTATGTGGGGAATCGGCCCAAATTAGAACAGGTTAGTGCTGGCCAAAAAATTCTAATCCGCACTGAAATCCAACAATATTCCATTCCACTTATATTTATATCATTATAATTTTATAGAATCAATAATAATTACAATTATAGTTTGAATAAGAATAGCAATAAAATAATAACCAAAACACAAAGATTAGCTCAAAAGAGGTTTTCTTCTGGATAAGTTAATTAATTAACGTAATCATGAGAAATGCAAACAAGAACATCTTATATAGAAAAATAATCAACAAACTTTTTGGTATTGAAGTTGAAGTGCCGAACAATCTGTTGAAGTTAATATGAAATAGTAATAAGGATAAATGGTAACTGTAAAAAATCATGGCAAATTTATTATATTCTGGAGCCAACTTCAAGAATCAGGATACCCTAAAGACTGTCGTATTTGCTTGTCCGTAGCAAATTTCTTAATAACATGAAATGCTGCTTGTGACATCTAAAATATAAAACACGAGTCAACAAGTAGCATCCCATATATAGTAATGAACATAAAAAATTCAAAGAAACTTTACCAAACTTATAGCGTCCTCACTGACATTCTCAAGCGTGTCACATGATCTATGATAACAAGGATCATAGGGCGCGTGTGCAAAACCTTTGAATGTATGCCGTTGCTCTTCGGATTTTAAACCACCTGCACCAGTTAATACACCACCTACACGATTATACTATCATTAGGATATTTGTTATAGCAAATAAATTTGATAATACATGTACAAACCAGAAGGAATTCCATGTTCAATAAATGGTAGAAAGTCACTGCCTGCTACCATATCAATAAGTTCATACGGTTCTCGAATTGATTTGAAGAAATTTTCAAACGTATTCTGAATTACGATGGATGCGTTTCTTACGTCTTCTGGAGCATCTTCTCCACGATGAATCTAGCGAAATAGAATTGAAAATAAATTTTGAAAGAAAATAAGCAGGATTCCAAAAAAATTCAAGCGAGTTTACTTACAAATGGCACGTAATTAGGACTTCCCAACATATCGAAATTCAAATTCAACGCGATATTTTCATTTTCACCGCTCATAACTGCTTCTTGCACAAAATGGCGTGATCCCAGTAATCCAATTTCTTCTGCACCCCACCAGGCAAATACTAAGTGATTCTTCGGCGTAAAATTAGTTTTTTCAAGTGAAAGTAAAATCTCTAAAAGAGTAGAAGACCCCGATGCGTTATCGACAAGGCCAGGACCAGCGGGAACAGAGTCTAAATGCGCTCCGAAAACCAGAGTATTTTCTTTACGTCCGCCGTCTTTTAATGAACATATGACGTTGTATGTATCAACTATAGAAATCTTTGTATATGTTCGCAGATCAATTCTTTTATCTTTCGAGAAGGCAAGCAATTGTCCAAGAGAGAAGGACGCAGCCAGAACTGGTATTTTCATTATTGGATCTGTGAAGATGTTGAGCTTGCAATGAGTTAGTCGTATAAATTTACCGTACTTGACTAATTTATTTTACCTCCTTCCTTCCAATCTACGATTCGAACACGATTAAATAAAAGCTTTGTTCTCGATGCTGAATTGTAGAATATTACCGCCGAAGCACCTTTCTTTATCATCGTTAAAATTAATTTTATATGGTTAAACATATTATTCACAGAAACTTTCACTAGTATTAGGTTACCAATTCGGCTGTATAAGCTGAAATCCAGAGTTCACATTGTCCACCTTCCTGAATCAACGCAATTTTATCTTTCACATCTTCCCATCCTTTGTCACTACATCCGTGCGACGGAATAACTGCAATTTTCTTATTCGTAAGGTTAGCGGCTTGTCCACCATATCTCATACCTTTCAAATAAATAAATCGTCAGAAACATAAAATAATTGTCAAAAATTAGAGAAAACTTACTCCAAAAATCTACGCCTCCTTGATATGTTATTGCTTGTTTGGCATCCTGCTTTTTCCTCTCGCTATTCATTCCTTTTCCATTATCCTCAACAACGTCATCATAAAGATACGTGACATTCAATTCTGCCTCACGAAATTTTTCCCAAATGGGAACTTTGAAATATTGCAACTGAATATCACATCTCGTTCTGTTTGTCAACAATGATATAATATATTGCGCTGATGCATTATATCCCGTGGTAACCGATCGTGAAGGTGCAGGGTTATCAGGATCAATTGCAAAATTCTCTTCGTCGAAATCAAACGTTGCAAGTTTAGTGGTGGTTGATGCCTGTTTTGTCGACGACGATGAATATGACTCATTATGATTCTGCGCAATAAGATAAAATTGATTTAAATGCTCGAATATATTTTTGGTGATTTGTCTTGGTGACACAATGTCTTCATGCGTTTCTTCGGCTAGATTTTTAAATATGTAAATTAGAATCGCGGATAAGACACAGCAACGCAACAAAGTTTACACAATAGCAACTCACGACGATTATGAGGTAAAAATATAAAGATCAACAACATAATCGTGATAAATATTAGTAATGCCACTACTCCGCCTTGACGAAATTTTCGATTAGCAGGTTGTAAATTTGCATTTTCTTCATCAATTACGGCTGCTGAAGGTATTCAAAGATAAATGAATATTATCAACATGATGTGCCAAAATCAAATACCTTCTCTTACCATTACTGCCATTACCAAGAAGTGGTGTTTGCTCTGTAGTACTAGTAGAAGCCATTTCACTTTTTTACTTTTATAATACAATAATAGTAATGATAACGATAAAATCCCAAAGTGAGTAGTAGATTATCAAGTAACACACAAAGAACTTACATGTACATGCGTATCGTGTAAAGAGGATCATAATTTCACTTTGTTGTGCTGTCTTGATTGGCTAACCTAGCATTTTGATCAACCAATCAAAGTTAACGAGAGCACAATACCCATGCTGAAAAACAAATCTGCACGATGTACGTATCGGCATTTATCTTTTCCCGGTTAGTTGTTCGCTGCGCTGTTTGTCCCACTTTCGGCTTGCCAAGTAAAATTAATCAATTTAACTTGTTTTGTATATGAAAATACGAAATTTAATGTAGAATTACCCAAAAAGTGCTGAAATCACCCCCCCCCCCGGTATAATTTAATTTGATGATGTGATTTTAAATGGAAAATTGAAATTCTACTGTCAATAAATAATGCTCGATATTGTATAACAGAAAAAATCGTTTAAACACAAAGCCTTAATTTTGGTTGAACATTCTATTGAGAACATAATTCAATCCATTTAAACGAAACCATGAGGTGCACGAATGGCGTACCCTTCTTAATTGGTTTTCTGATTTCAAATTTGTAATACACTTAAAGACATGAAATTTTTGGAATTAATTTAAAAATGGGCGGCTGTTGTAGCTCTAAAGCTCTAAAAATAATTCCGATGATGATGATCATGTAAGATTATCGTGTTATTGATGGTAGGTGATATCATAATATCTCGAATTCAGAATATTTTGTTGCCAATGATGACAAGGAGGCTTATCGCTTAATGCGATACCATGTTGGTTGATTAAGTTTTTTTTATTTGAAGAATTTGATGATAAAATGTTGAATATATGATATAATTTTGTCATAAGCATCTAAGCTTTAAAGAGGACTTTTTAACTCACAAATCGAGGAAAAGTTGAAAAAGGAGCTCGAGTTATTGACATTGGGTATGTTCTGTTGTTTAGCTTAGTTTATTTAAAAAATATACATGAAACTAAATGTTTGTTTTTTAGCTGCGGAACCGGAACTTGGCTCTTGGTAAAGCTTATCAAAGTTTATGCAAGATATTAAATCCGGCCTTACTTTAAATGTTTAATATTTTTAACAAATTCAGGATATGGCAAGATACAAATGTAGAATTTATCCAATGCAATGTTCTTTGATGGGCTTCTTTCTGAAGATTCATACTTTGATTTCATCCATCAAAAGTTTATGGTAGCAGCATTTACGCAATCATAATGGGAAGAGAAAGTTATTTCGGAATAGTTACGGTTGACTTGACCTGGCGGATGGATAGAGTTTGTTTGAATCAGATGCGACTCTTACATCAGATGGAATAGCTACACGACGAATCAATATAAAATCTGCAGTCGTAGCATGTACATTTAAAACGATAATGTAATTTGCCATAATTGAATACATTAATCACATGTACGTACATGTACTCAGGCGCATACATGTACAAGAATAAAATAATACATGTTTGATTACGTACAATATAAATTTGTTTGACGTTTTTGTGTCACGATCGGAGAATTTTCTATTGTGTCACAAATTTTAAAAATACAAATAAAGGTCAAGCTCCCCACTTTTCGCTATCCACACAAAATAATAATGAGCTAAATATTTAAATATCAATTGATTTCAAATAATATATCAATATATGTTAAAATATGGGAAATTGTTGTTGCTCTAGACGATTTTATGATGAGGAATATGGACATCTTAGGTTTCGATTTATTGGTAATAGACGATTTCACAATATCTCGAATTCAGCGTATGCTGTCCCAAATGATGAAGAAGAAGCGGAACGTTTAATACGATACCACAACGGTAAAATTAAACATTCAATAAAGTAAAAATACATATATATATATATATGTATGTGTTATATTGATTTGTTACTTTTTCATTCTAAAGCGGGAAAAAGTATTTGGGGAGGATTATTTAAATCACCTGTTGAAAAGAAGTTGAAAGAAGGAGCTAATGTGATCGATATTGGGTATGTCTTAACATATATTCGCAATAATTCTCAATATACTTGCATACTCATTGAATATGAATTATAAAATTTATTAGATGTGGATCAGGAACTTGGCTAATCGTAAACTTTCATGACTTCTTAAAGCGAAATTCATTAAATTCAATATTGCAATAATTAAATACTTTCATTTTCAATAATATTATATGTAGGATATGGCACGAAAATATCCCAACTCTAATTTTACAGGCATAGATTTCTCGCCGATTTTTCCAACAGACGGTATTCCTAGTAACGCACAATTTATCAATTACAATCTTTTGGATGGGCTTCCATTTGAAGACTCTAGTTTCGATTTCATCCATCAAAAATTCTTGGTTGTGGCATTCACGCAGGTACAGTGGGAAGAAAAAGTTATCCCTGAATTAATAAGATTGGGTCGACCAGGTGGATGGATAGAATTTGTTGAATCTGACCCTTATCTGAGCTCTGATGGTGAATCCACTCAAAGAATTTGTAATGCATGTGAGTAAGCGATTTCTCTGTTTCTAAAAATCTTATAATCAACGAAACAATCTAACCTAAACCTTATTAATCTCAGTCAGAGATTTTCTTACTTCAAAAGGATTAAACATTCAACTCAGCGATGATCTTCCACTCCTTTTAGAAAATACAAATAAATTTTCAGAAGTTAGAAAAGAGAGAAAACGTATTATTTTAGGCAGAAGAGGTGGTAAAGCAGGAGAAGAGGTAAAATTTCACTTGCTAATATAACCGTCATTAGCATTTCAATAAAATAACTCACTTTTAAACATTTTTGTATACAAAGACTTTAAAGTTCCTCACGAAAGGCATGGAAAGCGGCAGGATTTGGTTATCGGCTTCGATGAATATAACGCCTGAACATTATGATTTACTTAATGAAGCAATCCCTACTGAGGTGGAAAAATATAACTCATTTATTAATCAATATCGATTTTGTTGTCATATAAAAGAATAAGGAAATATAGATTTCTAATTTTGTTTCTCTAAGATACAGTATTTAAGATATGCATGTATATGTGCATGAATAAAAAACAGGAGGCTACACTTTTATTATGCATGTTATTATACTAAGAACTACAAAACGAAATGAACCATAGATTTACATGCAAGTAGCTTTATATACTATTTTTAATATTTTACTTTATACATGTATAGAAATATTCATTAACTGGAGAATCACTGGTATATCTTGACTCTATTGTTTCTTGATAGTCCGTTGTTTGTGGGATGGAAAGCAAGCGAAGCAGAATCAGATGCAATCCTTTCCAATTTAGCGCCTATAGTTACGAATCCATTAACTTTATCTTCTCCAAAATTTCTAAATAAAGCGTTCCAGCCGACTAAAGTTATCTTTTTCCCGGGATTTGCATTAGTGATAGCATCAACAACAGCCTTTAAGTCTTGCGCATGATGATCCAAAGTGTATTGATTAAGATCTGTAGGCTTGCCACTATCGAGGACACCGCGACTATCAAACCGAACGAGATGAAAATCCTTGTAGAGGAATTTGTTCTTGAATACTGGATTAAGAATGAGTCTGAAATGCAGATAATCATGAAGAAAAATTACGGTTGGGTTTTTAGGGTCACCGATTTCTTAGACAAAAATTGGAATACTATCGTTGCATTTTTTACCGTGAAGTTTCGAACCCCATAAGCTGAACCCGAATTGTATAGCGAATAGTGCTCGGATAGATTGTTGTCCTTTCGTTGACGGAATTAGGTATGGCCGTTGTTGTGATCGTTGCTAACGAGCAACAGAAAAGACGCATGAACAAGAAAGCAAGTATTGATTTAAAAAAATTGAAGAATAACGATAACGATAGGATTTTTTCAAATCAATCATTAGAGTCTTGTAGGTTTATAGGATTTGTGCTTACAAGACTTGATAAGCTTGGCAGGTTTTGGAGAGTAAATTATAAATTATAACGCCAAGTAATGCATGCTTTACGTTTAAGTTTACTATCGCTATGCTAAACATGGAGACATGTATTAACTGGTAGGCGGTCACATGAACACAAAATCAATTCTACACCCTCGCATTTAGTGTTGCTATTTACATAGATTACATGCATTTAGATGTATACTCCCCGGTCAAAAGTGTCCGACCACTTTAAAACCGGATAAAAATGCACAAACTTCAACAATTAATTTCTTGACAATTTATAAACAAACATTATAAAAAATTTAAATCATTTTATTCAGAAAAACATGAATTTTATTAATATCTAGTTGAATTCTATGGCTATCTAATACTGCTTGAACCCTCCTTGGAAAACTTTTGACTATATTTGTTAAAATTTCAGACTCAATTTTATTTCCCTCCTCCTTCAAAACTACCATTAATTCCACAATATTTTTTGGATGAGATTATGTTTCCTAACTCTTCTTTCCAAAACATTTTACAAATATTTAATTGGAATAAAATCTGGGCTCTGTGCAGGTCATGAAAGACTTAATACCAATTTATTCTCTTTCCATTGATTAACCATTTTTGCTCTATGTATTGGGACATTATTATCTTGAAAAATATATTGTGAATTATTTTCTAAGCTATTATAAAAGGGTAAAAAAGTATTTTCTAATATATCTATATATATAACCTGTTATTCTATCTGAAACTTTGAATTAAAGAATCAATTTTATCTTTTACAAAAAATTTTTATATCATAATCCCTTGATTTTCAGATTTTAAAATTGAAATTAAGCAATTCACATCATATTTTTCATGTAATTTGATATGTATCATTTTAAAATAATATAAAGCAAGATTTATTACTCTAAATAATAGTATTTCACTCATTATTCCAATTTCTTCTTTCACAGCATCATTCTAGTCTTTTTTTATAATTTTATTCAAAAATAAATAGTTTTCTCTTTCCAGCTCATCCATAAAATTTCTTGATATATAAATTACACTTTATAGTACTAGAAGATACTAAATTGATAAAGACTTACTAAATTTTTTTGTCATTTTCTCTAGTGATTATTATTTATATTTTATTATAGTATTATAAATAATAATTTTAAAATTCCAAGAATTTTTCTAATATTTCATTTACTATGATTTTCTTTCCAGAGATCTATAATCTCTTCTCATTTAAACTTAATAAGTTCATATTTTTGAATATTGTAAAAGAAAAAAAATTTATTTTTAAATAGCTAAAATTAAGAGCTATATAGAAAAAAATTTTATTTATTTATACTTAATAATTTGACATAATCTTATTTTAAAAAATAATAATTTGCAATCTTAAATCAGATAATTGATAATATTTAACTGAAAAATATATATATATGTAATTGATAATTAAAGATAGTGATGATATAAATAAAAAAATATATTAAATAATTAAATAAATAGGATTTTCTCTATTTAAATATATATATAGTATATATAAATAAGTATTTATTTATCATAATAAATCTATAATAGAAAATCAAAATATAAAAATTATAATTAATGATTTACTAATCAAAAATAATGAAATTTTTAATATAAATTTAATAAAGCTTATTATAATTATTTTGGAAAGAACTTAAATATTCTTGAATAAAATAAATCTTTTACAAGATAATATATAATATTTAATAATTCTAGATTTTATTTATTATATAAATTTAAATACTAAAAAGATTATGATTAAGCTTTATAATATTATCAACAAATAATAAGTCAATAAGATTTTATATCATAATATTTTATTAAAGAATTATATAATATTTTAAAAAATAATAAACAAAAAGTATTTAAATAATATTTCAAATTAGCAAAATCTGGTTTTTTTAAAGTATAGTATAATCTTACTTTTAATTATGCAAATAAAAAAGAAATAATCAAAAATAAAAAAAATATTTGAATAGTATTTAAAATTAGCAATGTCTGGAATATTTTAAGCATAATATAATCTTACTTTTTATTATATAAATAGAAAAGAAATAATTAAAGATAAAAAAAAAGTATTTAAATAATATTTAAAATTAGCAAAATCTGATTTTTCTAAAATATAGTATAATCTCATCAGAAAATTTTTTAGAGAAATATTTATTGAGAATTATTACTATATCTATAAAAATTAATAAATATCTCTTTAAAATATTAATATTCATTAATAATTCTAATAATCTTTAATAAATATCTATATCAATAATTATCAATTATTATTAATATATTATTTATCAATATATAATAATATATTAATCATTATTATAATATATTATTTATTGATAATAAATAATATATATTAATAGTTAACTCAAATACTTATTTTAAAATTAGTTTATCATATTAATATTAATTTAGATTATATAACCTAAATGAATATATATATACTTATATATTCAATTATTTTTAAGACTTAAAACTTCTAAAATACTTTTTATTTAATATTAAAAAATATATTTATTTAATAAATTTTTATTATTTTTTTTATATCTTAGTATAATATATATTATTATATCAACTAAATCTAAATAAATATATATATATATTATTTAGTTAATTATAATCTTAGGAATTTATAGAGTTCTATATTTTTATCTTCATTTTCTTCTAATATATCATATTATTATAATAAAATAAGTTTTAATAACTCATGATTTTTTATATAAAAAATTCAAATAATAATAATATCTAAATTTAAAATTATTATTTATTAATAATAAAAATTTGATATTATGAATAATTAATATTATAATATTATATTATATATTATATCTTTTCATATTAAAAATTTTCTTCTTTTTTATCAATAGAAACTACTATATTACTGAACTATTCTAAGTTATAAAATATATTAGTTACTTGAATAATATCAATTGATTCTATATAAGTACTTGAATATATTTTAAAATATATAAACTCTTGATCATATGACTTATTATTTAAGCTAAAGAACTTTTCAAGTTCTATTTAAAGATTATTAAAGTCTTTTTGATATAGTTAATAAATATTAATATTTTTTAAAACTATTTTATCTATTTTAATTATTCATAATTCTTATAGAAAATTTTAAAAACCAGAATTTTTTTAATAAATAATATTAATATTTTTTATATAGTTAAGATCTTATATTATATCTATAATAAAATATTACTAATAATAACTATTAATATATATTGATAAATATTGATAGATATTAAAATTTATTATTTTTATTATTTGTATTATATAATTCTTTTTATTAGATATTTAATATGAATTTTTAATATTTTTTTTATAAAAAATCTTAAAAATCTTGATAAATATTCTATTTATTATTTTATAATATCAGATTATGGAAATAATATTAAAGTATATAATTCTTAAATATTTTGTATTAGCTAGAAGAATAATTTGCAAATATACTTATAAATTCTTGATAGAAATCAATAATCAATATCTATTTATGAAATAATAATCTGTATAACTATTATTATAGCTAAAATAATATAATAAAGACTTAACTTATCTCTAGTTTAATTAAATCATTATTAGTAAATAATTCTTGACAAGTTTTTATATATATTTTCATATACTTATAGAATATTTCATATAATCTCTTATATAAAACTTTACTATTCTTATATTTAATAAATAAATTATTTATTATAAAAATTATTAGCTATAAATTGTGATATATTTTTTAGATTATTTTTTATAATTATAAGTTCTTGATATTAGAGAATTATATATAGTTATAAATTCATTTTCTTAATAGTTATTATTTCTACTTTTTGTTAAATATATATTCAGATAAATTCTAAAAAATATTTTAAAATATTCAAATTAAGTAAATATATTCTATTAGAAACTATTACTTTATAGATATTAAAATTACTAATATAATTAATTAATCAAATAATTATTATTATCATAGTAATATAAATTTTTTTAATTTTATAATTTTTTTTGAATCTTGAATTTTTAATCAATCAGTTAATCTTTGAAAAATATATGATTTCAAATGATTTAATTAATATATTAATTATAAATTCAGTTATAATTCAGTTATAATTCAGTAATATTTCAATAATATTTTAGTAATATTTCAAAATTATAATTATATAAATAACTTAAAAATCAATAATGATTTATAAATAGTTTACTAATAATTCAGAAATACTTTAGAATGATTCAGAAATGAATTTCATTTATTTTTTTATTATTTTTTTCTTTTAGAATATTTATCTTATCTTTTTATTTTACTTTATTATTTATAACTTATCATATATATTTTATTTCTTTATTTTATTTATTTATTTATTGATTCTTTACTCCAAAACTTGTAATTATATACTAGAATAGTAAATAAATTATAAGTAGAATTTAAATAAAATTTGTAAAATCTTAAAGATGTATAAATATTTTTGCTTTCAAATATAAAATAAATATACTTAAATAATAATAATTCAATTATTTTTAAAAATACTTAAGTTATACTTATCTTGTAATTTTTCTTTAATTTTTATCTTGATATTCTGCTTTCAATTATCTTTTCTATCATAATAGATTATAATCTGGTTAATCATATATTTTTCTTGTCTGAAAAATATAGATAGTAAATATTCTCTACTTAAAATAAGCCAAGTATATTTTGATTTACAGAGATTCTTATAAGCTTTTTCATATATAAAAGCTTTATTTTATTTTGATATATACTCTTTATTTACCTAATGATTGAAAAGATACTATTAGAGAGTTTAGTTAGCATACTAAATCTTTTGTTTTAATTATAATTTTTATTCTAGTTTTTAATATTTACTCTTAGTTTAGTTTTATAATTATAACTTT